AAAAAATAGATCATAACTAAATTTATGCTATTTTTAAGCTAAAATTGTTACACGAACTCTACAGCTTAAGGGATAAGCTGCACCATTGTCTTGTTGGTCAAGTTTATATATATCATATTTATATATAGAACTTTCAGAATAAGTAAGCAATTTTGCAAAATGGCCAAATTCTACAGTAGTACGATTAAGTATAAGAACTCGAGCCCTGATATTGCTACATTACATCCTGTTTTTTTTGCATGTTCAAGATCCTAAATTCATATTACTGGTCCAATATTTGAAAAAATTAGACAACTAAAATCAATATTATATAGATTGTAACTAACTTCAAGTCTACTAGGAGTTAATATTTGTTGAAGTTAAGTTTGTGTATTAAATTTAACTTATGTATCATCGGAACCAATTAAAATTATATGTAACTTAAGTTCTTGTACAAAATCTAGAAGTAATTTATGTATGTCTAATATTGTTTCCATTTTATCATATCCAAGATTAGAAAGAAGAGCAATAACAACAGAAGAAAATTTTGATAATAGAACCTAATATATAATTTTAATTATTATTCAGTATTAATACTAATATATTAATTATAGTTTAACTTACTTGTAATATATATACTCTTATATCTTTAGCAACAATATTATTCTCTTTAATTTTATTAATTGTAGCTGAGATATTATCATATATTTTAATATTTGTCTCATTATTTGAAAATGTAAAACCAATAATACATCCCATTTGTAAAGAATATTAAAGACATAGTTTTAGTTTGGTATTATCTATCATAGCTGTGATTGGCTCATCATATCCAACAGAGTCTAAAAATCATTTAAACCAAGCTACATTTTCAAAACAAAGTGTTGGATCTGTTAATATGTCTTCAAAATTAAAATGATAATATCTAAAAATAAAAAATTATTATTTTTTTTTTTTTGGTATTAAGGTGACCTCTTGGCCAGGGTTTTTTATTAGGTTATCAAATTATTACATACCATTATTATACTTCTAATATGACACACTATATATAAATACCCTATCTAAGACTTACTAATCCTCCTCTATTAAGCTAGTCTATCTCTGAGGTAAATCTAACAGAGTAGTTCATGTCTCACACATGTTTTACCTGTGTGTTCAGTAATTTCTTTCCAATTAGTATCTATTGTCTGCTATAATTGTGTTCGTATCTCAAGCTACTTTTTGGAGTACTGCTATAACACAATTTGTATCTCAAGCACAACCTTCCTAATTAGTCGTCTATTATGTACTCCTGTCTTTATATGATTCACAACAACCCTGGTACCTATATTCCAACTAACTTCTTACCCGGATTCTTAATCGGTCCATCTTCTACTTCCAACTGTCAACCCAGAAGGTTCAACCTGGGCCCAGCTCTAAGTTTCTTTAGCCCCATCTCATCTTGGTTTGTATTTTCATAGCATACATTCTTTTCCTCCAACTTAGAATTTCCCAGTCCTTTGGCATACTCAGTCTATTTTTTCGACCCATGTCTTATAGCCTGTGTCTTTCAATCCACAGGTTTGCTAGGGTAGGGCTCCTGCTACCGGTTTTCCAAGCTGGTGACCCGGTTGATATGCACCTTATACATCTGTTAATTTTTGGTATTTCCAAATTGGTGGTCTGGTTGGTATGTTCTCCACTTAAGGACATAATCGCTCAGTTGATCGATCTTGGGCCCCAGTTCAAATTTAACCTTTCTGTAGTATTGTCAAAGATCACTGTTATCTCCAAATTCAGAACTTCCCAAATGGTTTTTGGTTATACTAGTTCCTCAAATTTATTGCACCAAAGCTCCCATTTCTAGATGGTATAACCAAAGTTACAAATTTTGTTTTAAATCCAACCGATAAGCATAGCTATTAACCGAAACACAGACCTATTTTTCAAATATTGTCATCTATAGGATTCGAACTCTAGACCTGCCACTTGGAGAAAGTGATGACTAGACTACTACATTAAGTTGCTACACCTTAAAAAATTATTATTATTATAATAAATTTAATATATTAAATATATAATAAATAATTTCTATATCTAATACTTTGAATTGTTAATCCCTTTAGATTTTGTTGAAATAAATTCAACACACATGGACTATAGGTACTAAGAATTACAAGAAAATTTTTAAACTTCTTAGTATATTTCAAATTTCTTGTAAATATATTTTTTTCTTTTTGAATTACAGCTTGTAATATAATATTACAAAGACCCTCAAAAACTGGTTTTTTATTAAATACCTCTTAAATACCTTTTTCAGCCAATTTTATTCAGATATCAGGTATTGTATTAGATTTATTATCTTTGATAATTAACCAAATTTTAGTAAGGTCAGAATATTCCAAATAATTTTTTAGTAAATCATTTTCAAAATAATATTTCGAGGTATGTTTTAGTTTTGAAATTAGTAGTTTTACTTTAGCAATTTGATTTTGTAAAATTTTGTTGCCTTTTAAACTAAGGTAGTTGTTACAAATATTTTGATTGGTAAATCTCTCATACTTTATAGAATGAATACAATTATCTTATTAATAAAAAAAATAATAATTAATTTTGAATTAATCAAATCTTATACATATCACTATATAATTAAAAGCAATATCAACTTACAATTACAATCAATTTTTCATACTGCTTCTGCATACAATTGGCAATTCAGTTGATATTTTTGTAAACAGTCCAACTTCTTACATAAAAATTCTTTTGGAAAAAGACCTGAAAAAATCTCCTTTGCAATAATTTCAATTCTTCTAGTTCTGCCAAACTAAGCAAGAGTACAACTAATATATTTATAAATAATACTAGATCTAAAACCAGAGCAAGGTTTTTATTTATTGTTTGATAAGATTACCATATTATTATTACTTAAAACTTCACTCTTACAATCATTTTCTATATTACTTATTTTGTTAATTTTAAACAAATTATCATCCTCTATTTTTTCATCATCATTACTTTCCAT